CTGCCCGGTAAACCGTAGGCAGAGAGGGAGGGAGAGAAGAGGAAAACAAAAGAGGGGCTGTGACAAACTGTTTCGTCGGAGTTTTACCGACAGACTCATCAGGAGGGTGAACCCTACGGTGGACGTGACATGCTGGCGACGTCCCGACATGTCTCGATCGATGAAGACATCCAAAGGCCGTCGCCCTTTCATTTAAAAAAAGGGAAAAAAAAAAGAGAACTCCGAGCCATGCTGGCCACGTTCCGACATGTGTCGATCACCCGCTAGAGACGATCTCATCAGGGAAATACAGTAAAAGAAAAGGGCGTCTGTGGAGGAGTGCAAAATATCGCGATTGATCGGCTTTTCTGTATCTGTGCGTAGAACCCATCCAGATTCGGAGGCTTAATCCAATCCTCTTTAATGTCGGGACCTCGTCTCTGGAGATCTTGGGCATGCAAGAGGCAGCGTTTGTCACTCTTTGAGTGTTTGTTTTCGCTGTGAATTGCGCAGACATGCCTTAAGAGGCCTTGCTTCTCCCCTCCTCCTCCTACCTCCTACCGTCTTCACCGAATGGAAATTGTGGTCATTACAGTACAGCTGTATTTGGGCCAACTTTCAGTCTATATACAGCGATGACGACCAATCGTGGTCATTACAGTACAGCTGTATTTGGGCCAACTTCAGTTATATACAGCCATCGGGCGTTCTATTCGCGTGAAGATGGTAGATTCTCTCTACGATGCGGGTGGCAGTTCACCATTTGTCTTCTCCTCCTCCTCTTTCCCCTGCGGTTTGCCGTCTTCCTTTCTCTTCTGTTTTCCTTTTTTTTTCTCCCAAGCGCGACAGCCTTGAGCTATCATCGTGAAACTGATCGGCCCCAGGTAAGAGCATCTCCCAATAGCGAGCCCAATAGCAGATTCTGCAGCAGATACGGTTAATACGAATAAAGCTAGGGAGATATCCGGGGCGCCCGGGTGAGGTTTGGTGACCGGGTGACCGGCCAGGCATGACCCCCGGGCATGGCCCCGGGAAGCCCCGGCGCGCGCGCGCAAAAAAAAAAAAAAAAAAAAAAAAAAAAAAAAAAAAAAACTGGAGAAAGAGAGAGAGAGAGAGAGAGAGCAAAGAGCCCTTTCACATTATTCAGACAACCCCTGCCAGTACTTCAAAAGGTCCCTGCCAAATATTGGAATACACTTGAAAGCTCACATATACGCTCCAAAATAAGGATAAATAACCCTAGTTTCCCTCACTTCGCACAGGCAGACCTTGACCAAAAATAAAA